CCTTCTCATGTTAACATGCACACATTACCACAAAATATATTTCTGTTGAGCTGTATGGGAATGCCCTTAGTTTTGCAGGTGTTTTGTCATAAGCCAAAGTTTTGGACAATATGAAATTATTAAGAAGTTTCCTATTAGTATGATGAATATCTGTAATAAATTTCATTGCTGTTGTTTCAATGTGGCTCAAAGTGGTGTCCAGACTGACAAACCAACACTGACATCAATGGGTACACGCTGTCATGCTGTGGCTAAAAATGCTACAGATTTCCAAGACTAAAGTAAATGAATGTAAGAAAGCACCATCCATCCATTATCTATACTGCTTATTCCTGAATAGGGTCGCGGGGGCAAGAAAACACCTAAACAGAATATTTTCTAAATTCTGTCATTTCAGTGAAAGGTGTTGCAGACAGATGATATATTCTCTCTGAATCTATGACAGTTATAAAAAGTTGTTTAACACATTCATGCAGTCTATTTGGCTTTGTCACTCCAGGGACGGAGGATGTAAAGTGTGTAAGGCGAGAAAAGCAACCTGTTGGCAGGAACCAACGAGCAAGTGTTTGCTACGCCATGATAAATTGTCTCTGGCACTTGGTAGGCACTGGCACATTTTACCTGTGTCATTTTAAAGCTTGTCAAGCAAATTATGGCAAATTATGACGTTTATTTCTGTGACAGAGTGCTCAAGTGTGCATGTTCTGTTTCAACAGATAATCTGGTATATGCTTTTCAGATTATACCTATTTATGTCTGAGGCAGCACAGCCACAGTCAGCTTGTCAAGATGTTGTGTTAAGTGTTACTTTGCTGTTACTTTAATCATTCTGCTTCACTGAGAGCAGACATGACAGCAGACCTGCAGTAAAATGTCAAGTACAGTGCAGATTAGGAACATCTTTCAGGGTGTCTAAAAATGTTTGGTAGTTGCAAAAATCTCTCATTTATTTTGCACGGTGACATGTTAATTTATTATGCTGTTTCTCATTAGTAGTTTGTCAAATGAAGTTGACTGGTAGAGCGCATTT